TATGCACAAACAATGAATCATGGAACACTTCATCTAAAACTAATGATGTAATGTATGGGGATTAACATAAGAATAAAAAAAATAAATATAAAAAAAAAAAAACTGTGTCTGGTAGGAGACATGACTGTGTGCTGAAAACATGACTGAGTCTAGGAACTGAGTAGTCCATGCTAGATAGTCCATTCTATTACCCCCCTTCTCCCTGTCTACTTTCAGGCCCAGCACCAGTACTCCCTCATCCTAGCCATACACTTTATTTGGTATATAGTCCTCCTGGACATCTTCCGAATAATTATAAAACAACAACAGAGACTTTGTTCCCATATAATTCCTAACATTTGCCCTTTTTTTTTTTTTGAAAGATTTTTATTTATTTCTCACACACACACACACACACACACACACACACACACACACACAGGCAGGCAGAGGGAGAGGGAGAAGCAGGCTCCCCGCTGAACAGAGTCCTATGGGGACTCGATTCCAGGACCGCGGGATCATGACCTGAGCTGAAGGCAGACACTTAACCAAGTGAGTCACCCAGGTGCCCCTAAAACCTACCTTTAAAAAAGAAAGGTTTACTAATTTTTTTTAGTAATCTCTACACCCAATGTGGGTCTCGAACTCATGATCCCAAGATAAAGAATCACATGTTCTTCCGACTGAGCCAGCCTGGTGCCCCTAAAACTTTTTTAACTCTGACAACTTATATAGTCTCTTTCTTTTAAACATCCATATAACATTCTGTTCAATGTATATATGTAAATCGTTCTCCTCTAAAAACATTTCATCAGTTTTCAGTTGTTTTTACAGGTAGTATTTAAGTGAACATCCATATTTATATTTCTTTAACTACATGGGTTTCTATAGAACAGATTCCTAAAAACAGGGCTGCTGGTTGAAAGGCATATGCATTTTCATTTTGATAGCTGTTATCAAACTGCTTTCCAATAAAGCTATTCCAGTGCTCACTCCCATGAACAATCTGTGAGACGGATGGGCCTCGCGTGTCAACCAGGACAATTAAGCCAGTAAGACTTAGGGATATAATCTACTCCAAAAAGTACAGCATGCACATTTCTGTGTTCATGTGGTCAAGTTCAAACACCTACACTGGACTGTCACAGTTTTATGTTTAAAAGAACTTTAGTGGGGCGCCTGGGTGGCTCAGACGGCTAAGCGTCTGCCTTCGGCTCAGGTCATGATCTCAGGGTCCTGGGATCGAGTCCCTCATCGGGCTCCCTGCTCCTCGGGAGCCTGCTTCTCGCTCTACCT